CTTCGCCCGTAATTAACATCCAACTTTTCACGGCAGCCAGAAAGAACATACAACGCAAAAGGTAGCCAGTGTAAAGGGGCCGAGAAAAACAGAAACGAAAGGGGCAACAAACAAAATTGAGAACGGTTAGTGGCAAAAAAAAAATTGGCTTTTGCGCATGCCCGGAATTGACATTTTGCTCAATTTTGTGGTTGTGAAAATGCGAATTGACGAAGTCACTGAGACGCGCGAAAGTCCATCATTGTTCCTATTTTGATCTTCCTGGCTTACAAATTGCCTCTGAAAACAGACGAAATTGTTATTGTTATATTCAAATTAATTTTTAATGCACTTTTTGCCACTTGCAAAGCTTTGTAAACAATTTTTAGTGACTAATTAAGCACCTCTAAGAGGTACACCTTCCATGCCTGCTAGGGATTTAAAAATGTTCACCTCCCGTTGTAAACAACGAGGAGATAAACGTTTTAAAACTCATTAAACGGGGAGGCGAATTGCTAATAAAACTGTAAACTCAACAGGGGAGCTTTTATGTGATATTACTGGAACACCAGGTCGTAGCTATGTGGCATATGTCACGATAAATCTACAAAAGCAACATTGGACAGGATCAAAACAGTTTTAATGTTCGTTAAACTGAAGCAAGTCTGTAAAAGCGAAATTGAGCAAGGGATCATTTTTTTCTATTTCTTTCAAAAGGTTCGTGACAAAAAAGAGGAAACAATTTGTTTACTTTGATTATCAAAATGTGATAGCTCGTGCTAGTCTGCCTCTATCGACTTATGGAGACACGATTTTAAACCAATCAGCGCGCGTATTTTCTCTGGGCTATAATTAAATAATAAACATTGTATAGAGGTTCCTAGGAACAACTGAAAATCATCATACCAAAACAATTAATATTGAACGTCCAAAATACCCTCCAACCTTTGCAAAGTCAGTGAACTAGTAATCGTTCGATCAACATTCGCTGAAAACGAGATATCTTCCTGGCTTCCAAGTTCTCTCGGAAAACAGGGAATATTATTATCGTTATATTCACATTAATATTTGGTACAGTTTTTACCGCTCGCAAAGCTTTGTAAACATTTTTTTTAAAACTAAGCACCTCTACTGAGAAAAAAATTCAAAACACACAGGAACATGGTGAACCAAAGAAATGAATAACTACGGCTTCAATAACATATCCAACTGTGTGTTTACTAATTGGGTAATCACATATATATGATATAATAAATGCTTTTATTAAAAGACACAGGCCTTTATTCTTAAATTGACCGTTCTATCGTTCATTTCAGAAAGTGCCAACTGCGACGTGATTGGAGGGTAAAGATTTTTTCGTCTCACAGTTTTTCTATACCGTCGCTTATTCTTTCGAAATGTAGAAATCCGTTTGTTACTGACTGTTTTAAATTTGCTCTACACGTTTAATTATCGATCAAGCCAAATTGTTACGTTGCCTTTCTAGTGGATTCATCTCGCTTAATGCCACAAAAAAATAAACATGGGTTGTGAAAATGAGTATTGACGAAGTCACTGAGAGGCATGAAAGTCGTTCAATTGCCATTGTTTCTATTTTGATTGGCTAGCCTGTCTAAAGGGCCAACAGAAAGTTGACAAAATGCTGTCAAAAACATGTCAAAACTATCAAAAACGTAGCGAGTGACCAAAGTTCGCTTCACGCACTGAGGGCACGATCCATTCAACCAAAATTTCCAGAAAGTTTGGTGTGAAACTAAATGGATCGGTTCGGCCCAACCGGAAAAGTTTCGAAAAAACCAGCCCGCCTTTCGAGGTGGACCACTTTTCTCGGTTGGGCAGGTCCATTCCAAAAGTGACGGTCCCATTTGACCATTCCGACCAGGGGCCCGTTTCCCGAAAGTCTCGGAAACTTTTCGGGTCCTTAAGGTCATTTTTGGTTCATCTGTATCTAAAAACGGAGAAGTGTATATGACTGAAACTTCTTGTATGAAGGGAACCTCCGTGTTCATATTAAGAATATGTGAATAAAACAGCTCTGTAATCATAAGGTTCGAAATTTTGATATGACTTTCTGGGTAAGCAAAATTTTCGGGACCTTCGAGAAACGGGCCCGAGAGCCGGGTTGTTCGAAAGCCGGTTAACGCTAAGCCAGGATTAAATGTCAACCAAAGTATTATAATTTTTCTCGCGTAAAAGTGTTTTTTACTGCTTATCATGTGTCGTTTGAGCTTACTCAAGCTCAAAACCGAAGAGCAAACAGTATAAACTGAAAACCTCACCGAAAAGTGACAAAACTGAAACAAAAATTCTCGCTAATCCTGGGTTACCTTTGAACAACCCTGCCGCCCCTGGTCTTTAACTAGTAGGTCTTGACGACAAGCTTCGAAAATGTTGTGGGAACAGTCTGGCAATCACAGCTTTTAGCACAAAAGGTGTACAGTTTCTATATGATAAACAAGCGCTCTACAACACATCTCAACTTAATTGTCAGTTGTGTTTGTCCCTAACAATTTTTCATCAGTTCGCCATTTTCGTTAGCATATTTTGCAAAAATGTTTTGAAGAGAGATTTTTGTGAATCAATTTTCAAGTCTACAAGGGCCAGCAGTTTATGCCCTACATTGCTGACTAATCGCTCCTCAGTCAAGTTCTTTTAAAAACTTGTTGGTTTTAGCTAATGGTTTTTGACGAAAAGTTTGACAAATGTTTTGGCAGCAATCTCCCTCAAGAGAGGGTAACTATTCGGGTTTTCAGACTAAGCGGAAAATATCACCAAATCGATGACATTCAATTGTTTCTCACCACCATCGCCGGCTGATAATTAGACTAACAAAAATTCCACAGACCTCTTAATGATAGACCACATCGGTGCCTAACCACAAAATGGTATTAAAATACCCGCCTGTCATGATAGAAAAACTAACAAAGTTTAAGTCAATACGCTTTCTTGCAAGCCATGAATCTTCTATTGTACTGTATGTTCTTTATCGAATAATCATCTTCATAATGTCCTCTTCCCCAATTAGAAGATGATACCTTATCACATACTCGTCTCTAATTTCACGGTTTTAATCCCGTAAAAGCCCGACTGCTAACTCTTTTAGTGTTGGTTTAAAAACGTGATCGTTTTTCATTAATAATACAGGGGGAGTACTCTGCAATCCCTCTGCAACTCGTTTTGTATATCATTTTGTATATCAACCCTTTTGTATATCATTTTGTTGAAGTCAATGATGTAGAGGTTAATAAATTATACAACACAGCCGTAAGGTTCGTCTGTTCGAAATATTTCAGTTAACTCCCTTTTTAATACCTGAAGCCTTGATATAAAACCCCTTTCGGGCGAAGTCTCCCCGTATAGGCCATTACAGGCGGTACCCCCGGGTCCCTAATATGTATCATTACCGGAGCTTGCGGCAATTATCATAAAAATGTTTCTCTCTTTGACAAATAAGATTTAGTGACAATTTAAACTTTGGTTTCTCAGCCCTGGGCTGTAATTTCCAAATGAGAAATACACAAGAATTTCTAGAGAGATTCTAGCACGTTTTCTTAGCTACGACTTTAATAAGCCTTTCAATCCGGTATTTCTATTCTTGTAAACTATTTACTTGTTTCTAAGTGATTTGAATCCATTCAATACTGATAAACTCGCAGCACGTGTGTTATCGCATCTAAACTCCCAAGGCTTCTTGTGATTCACTTAACCTGATAAAACAATGCTGCTAACTTATTTAACATTACTGAAACGTGTTGTGTTAGCTAATAGCTTTTGATGACACGCCCCGCAAATGTCCGTGGGAGCGAATGAGACTAATAAGACCTCAGTGCAACCGGTGGAAAGCACTTTTTCACCAATCTTGGAAAAGGAAATTGAAAGCTAGACACCTATTTTTCTTCATAAACTCAGTTTTTATATCTACTGGTAGGTAACTATAGGGAAGGAAATAGTCCATCACATATAAGACGCATGAAATTTAGCTAAATAATAGTGAGTTTAAGTAACTACGACGGTGACGCCGAGGACAACGTCGATTACGAAATGAATTTAAACTTTACCAACAAATCTCGCGATACTCTGAAGTCATTTAGTTTTTTTTTTTGGCTTTGTCAAAACTCGAATCGAGAGTATGGGACACAGCGTGTATAATTCGAAATATACTTTTTAAAAATTATCATATCCGTCGTGGTTCACGTTCTCCCCACAACACAGAATTTGGTCATTTCACGTTGTTGTTTTGCAGAGGACAGCGAAGAAATGTATCAAGAATTATAACCCACGTGCACAGCCATTGTATTGCTCATTAAACAACCTTTTGCTCAGCGACGTTCCGTTGCCGTTACCGTTGTGCTTTGCTTAAACTCCCATTATTTTTAATAATGCACTTCCCACAAGAAAACCGAGAGCTAAGCTAAGGTGTAACTCTAAAGTAATTTGGTTGATTACCGTGAAATTCTCCTTTTCAGTTTTTTTTTTAAATTGTAACTGAAAAACGTACAGCTACTTGTGATTGCAAAGTGATTTTTCGCCTTTTTTTCTCCCACGAAATTCATACTAAAAAGGGCCTACCGCTGGTTCAAATCTGCTGCCGATCAAGCAAGTCGTGTTTTAGCCGAAACAAAATACGTTTTGTATTAAGTAAACACAAGCAATGGAGAGTTTTGGGCTTTTGTTCCCTAAGATTGTCATGTCGCACGGATTAACTTGTTTTCCGAATTTAAACGCAAAAACAAGAAAGACGTCCAGATGAGAAGCTATTGTATGCAGTTTACATCGATTAAGCCTGATTTCTCCTTGTTAAAATATGAAACTCTAGAGCTTTTTATGCTCGTTTTACTTTCTTCTATGTGCGCTTTAATGTTATACTCGAAATACAGTCGATACTGTCTAGGTATGACCACACCTTGCTGGCGACCGCTATCACCATTCGATCACTTTTAGGGCTGATGCTTTGCTATTTGCTGCTATTTTCAATCCCTGGTAAGCGGCCACTTCACATGGTTCGACCTCACTACAGGCGATAACTGAGTAAGAAGAGACGGCTGGAGTTACTACATTTTTTTCGTTGCTCATCATAATTTAGAGTTTACGAATGCATTTGTGCATGGATAATGGTTAATACTACCCTTTGCTTTGACCAATAGATTTTTGTCACCCTTTTGGAAGCCATCTTGACGGATGAAGATGAAGTTTGCCGCTTTGAGCCCTCCATTTCTTGCTTTGATGTTCTTGATCACCGCGCCATGTTATCATGGTGTGTTGGGCAAAACGTCAAACAATTCGGTCCTATCGGGCTGCCCCAAAAATCAATGTTTGGTAAGTTCACGTATGTTTTTAAGCAAATTCAGTTTCAGAATCAAATCTCCTTTTTTCTTTAATTTTTCAACGTTAAAATAATTGTTCTCCTCAATTAGATAGACGCTATTTCCTGCTTTGTAAATGGAGGGAACCCAAATGACGGAAGTAAGTTATGTAGAGGTAGTCAGCTTTCCCTGGGACCCAATCTTGGAAGTCTGTTATACTCTGGCGGTTTAAGCCAACTTTGACTGCCGGTTTGTGGGTACATTCACATTTATCTGGCTGTTTACGGTTAAGAAATTATCGCATGGTTGCGGAAAATCATAAATTTAGCTCTTGGCTTTCGGGGTTTTTTTGCGTGTTTTTTGGCGATCATTCAAACATTCCGAGCAATCTTTGTGCTTGTGAACAGTCTATTAGACGTCAAAACGTTTTTGTTTGCTGGTTACTGAATGGAGTTAGAAACAATTTGTTCTGTTCTTTAAATGTGTTTTTTTTTTTTTGAGGAGAAAGACGATTATATTGAGCGAGCATATCGTAAAAAATTTGTTACGCACTGTTAAATGATCGGCTGTGATGATTATCGTCAGCTACTAGTGGGGCGGTTTAGGTCTTAAGGCGGAGAAAACAAAAGTAGTCTGCTGTTTTAAATGAACAGAATATGGCAGTTTGCAGGGTGTATAGCCCCCTAAAATAAACCCTCGATATTGCCAAATGAAATTTGCTGAAATCTTACAGCCGGTTGAAGAATCAAGCGTTTTATTTGAATCAAAAGCGATTTTGTTTTAGCGCTAAACCGCTCACGGGCAACATAACTTAATAACAATTATTCCGAACAAATTCAAGGAGTCGCAACAATTTTGAGTCATAAGAAATTATGATAACTGATGAACACTCCGTGATAATCATTGTTCTTCCAGCTTTATTGCGAATGAGAAGGTTTATTTAACTGATCGGTATGTACAGTCTTATCAAAGATCTTACCATTTATTATTTCCTCTATTGCGAAATACTGTAATCAAACTATGAGCCAAATGCATGGAAGTGTGTTAAAAACATATTTACTTTTCCAATTCAGGTCACGCAGAAAAACTGGCAAAGCTTGAAAAGGAGGTATGTCGTTAATCGTTGAGAATGAAATGAAATGGAGAGAAGAAAGTCTTCGGTGAGCATTTGTTTGTATCGTCGTAAGCGGAGGGCGATGCAGCCCCCACCACTCCCCCCCCCCTCCCCCCCTCTAGTTTCAGACATTTTTGTAATTTTTCGGGCAAAACGCTGATGATTCGGGCAACGACACTTAAGAGAAAACATTAAAAAATAATTTAGTTTGTGTGATTTGCAAAACTCGTAAATAAAGTTACTAGTTAGTTTCTTTTTTGAGAATTTTTTCTTTTGATGNTACTTTTTATGAATCTCTGTGTGATTGGACGCCCGCCGAGGAGTAGGTAGGCTCTCAAGTGGTTGCTTCAGAGAGTTGGCACTTTAAATAGTGTCGTGTGAAGTGTGTCATTTGTATCTGCTGCTGATCTGAAGTATTGTTGGCACACCGAAGACGCCAAGGTAGTATGCGGGACCCGAACTTTTAGGCTCCCGACAAAGAATAAGCCCTCTTTTTTTGGTTTTTTAAGTTTCAAGGCTTGTAAGCTACTTTCTCTGAAATTTGCATTGCCAAAAAGGACTAAATTATATGAGTGACATGGGGTTTTCTGTTAGCTACAACACGCATCAATGCAAACGAAGACCAAGACTTTTGTTTTTGTGGTGGCTCTGAAAAGAGCCAGGGAGGCGCGGTGGCCTCATGGTTAGAACTCTCGTCTCCGGGTCGAGCGGTCCGTGTACGAGCCCTAGCCTTATGTTCTAGCGAAAGACACTTTACTCTCATAATGCCTCTCTCCACCCAATTAAGTGTTTAAATGGGTACCGGCAAACTTAATGCTGGGGGTAACCCTGCGATGGACTAGCATACCATCCAGAGGGGAGTAGAAATACTCCTAGTCGGTTCATGCCGCAGAAACCGGGATAAGCTCCGGCCTGATGGGTCACTAGGCTCGTATGCAGAATTTGCTTTTTCTTAAAAGAGCCGTTTGTAACACCTAAACAAAGGGGTGTTATAATTTTTTTTTTCACTAATTTTTCTCAGGAGGTGTTCCTATATTACGTCCATATTGTTTAAAATCGTATTTGCGTGGCTTTTGAATTTATAAAAGGCTTGCAGTGTACGCTGCAAGTCTGCTGTGGCCAAAACAAGATTTTTTCGAATGACGTCAAGCAATGCCTCGTGTTGTTCTTTGAACGGCCTCGAGTATATCGAGAAGGTCGCCTCGAATAGAGTCCAGCTTCTGTAACACGTCCAAATACGGTCCATCTTGAAACAGATGTCTCGGTATATATTGAGCGCGCCTGTGGCATTAAAGTCATTTTGATCAGTGTCACTGTGTGAACAAGATAAATAACATTTTCAGATAATGCCTTGGAAGAAGGAACTTTTTCAGTTTAATAAGTTTTAGATTTTACTATATTGAGACTGCTGATAGAGGTCATTGAGTATGCAAGCTTTCAGTTTAACCTTTTTTTGAATTATAGAAGTTTCATTCGATGTCAGAATTATAATTATATAATTACGTTTATGTTTTTCATGGCATTTGCGTGCGTTTGCATCCCGATTTCAACACGCGCGCATTCGAGCATTACGTACTTTTTTCGGGCAAGTAGGTCACCGCCCAGCTCTCCCCCCGCCCTCCTCCCCCTGGTCCGAAGGTGCCCGCACGCCTATGTGTATCGTTCTCCTAACTTTTCCTCGAGAAGCGAATGTCCAAACAGTTAAGAAAAAAACCCTGTGGAATTTAAATTTCTGTAACTGCTTGTCTCTGCATAGTGCTAGGCTGATTAGTCTGAGAGAAGAATAAATCAATGTTCATGAAAAAGTGAAAAAAGGAAAATGATTGCATAAATTGTAACCTTGGTCATTCCATGAGTGAACTCTCCTTCTTATGAATTCCTTTGGTGCATTACTTAAATAATTGATCTTTTATTTCGGTGTCTGTTTTTTTCACAATCAAGGTGGCAGCCTTAAAAGCACAGTTAGCTACAGCCGGGAAACCATCTGGTTTCGCTTTGCTCGACAGCAATGGCCGCTTGTCCCAGAGTCTCCTTGTGGCGGGTTATGACAAGTACTCTTTGTACGACTTGGGCTGGCAGTCTCTTCACATGGCAGCCTCTGCTGCCTGTAGAGGAAGCACTAGTTCAGGGGGTAGTGGCTGCTGTGAAAACGTTGTCCTTGTGCGTAACACGGCTGATAAGAAGACCTGCTCTCAGATCTGTGCCCAGTCTCCGTTTTCCAACTGTGATGGAGAAGTTTCCATCCACGGAAAAACAGGAAAAGCCACTCAAAACGGAGAGAAGATTGGCGCGTTCTACAACTATGAATGCGGTCACGTGGCTAACGGAGGGAGTGAAGTGTCACGATCTGAAAGTGACATTACTCGGTTCCCAGACCCATATCCCTATTACAGCTTTTGCTGCTGCCGGAAATAAAAGTACGAGTGTAAACAGAGCGCTGTGAAGACAATAAAGGTGTTGCTCTTATATGCTCCGATTCGTTTGATTTTTATGGCCGAATTTTTCTCTTCCCCTTCGCCGTTCCTTCAAATTCACTTGCCCATTTTAAGCCCACTATAGATAAATCATTAAAATGAAAAATTTTACAATTCATATCCGAGCATAATGGAGACAATTATGTTTATTATCCTTCAAATATTTGTCTCAACACGCGTATTTTTGAAAATTGGTGAGTATCACTCGGATATTCCCTTGTTTTAGCCAGGGAATATTCAGTCATGTGACGTGTTTAGACCAGTCGCGAGCGAGCGAAAATATATTAAGGATTATGAGCTCGGATATTTGTCCTTGGACATCATTTGTTCCTCAAAGCTCACAGCTTTCCTCGAGCTACGCTCGAGCATATTTTCGCCCCAAATGGAGGCTAAATATCTATTTATTTCCACATCCTGAAAAAAGATGTAAGCGATGTTCCAGTAGTCCAGTCCCTGATCCTCATTGATCTGCGTTACTCATTATGGCCGAGTGAGCTTGGGTTAGGGGTCAATAGAAACAAAGATGGCGGAACACGTACTTACGAGGAATGTCAACTTCTGGTTGAAACGTTACAGAGTTCTTGAAGGCTGTTGCGTTACATTGAAAAGACATTCAGATAAAACCAGGCCAGAGTATTTAAAAATGGTAATCTACATGAACAAGGGAGTATGATTTGGATCATAATGATAAATCTCTTGACATGAAACAGGGCCGGAGAGACTGAATACAGTAAGTGCAGAATTCCTTGTCGTGGCGAGAGAATTTTTACTTACTGAAAGGATAACAGAGTTGAGCCTGTTTGACCCACAGGCCAAGATTGGAGATTTTGGATATTTTGAATGAAATGGAGAACAGAGAAGAGAGAAGGCAGATGAGATGAAAACCTTAGCAGATGAATACAAGATAACAGTGGTAAATGGCAGTTCCAGTAAAGACTACCCAAATGAACATCTGGCACTATCGAACAGGTATGTTGATTATTAATTAACGTATTAGTGAATAACTGTGTTCGACAGAACGCAGTTCTAATCGCGTAATGGAGGAAAATCGAGTTTTCCTGTATGTATCTTTCTATGGACGCCAATATTTGGCCCCCCAAAAAAATTTTTTGAGGGGCGAATGACGTCATCTCCATTCATTTGGTGATAGAAGTACGTCGTGTCGCATACCGACGGAACAGGCAACGTTTCTGTCGATTTACACGGTCCAGAATCGTAGGATTCCGGTCAGTATAAAATAGGTCTGCGGGCTGCAGACAGCGGACAGCGGACAGCGGACAGCGGACAGCGGACAGCGGACAGCGGACAGCGGACAGCGGACAGCGGACAGCGGACAGCGGACAGCGGACAGCGGACAGCGGACAGCGAAAAGCGAACTGAGGACTGCGGACTGCCGACTGAGGTGTAAAACGCGGACTAAGCATTATGGATTCGGTATAAAACATGGACTCATATATAAAACGCGGACTGCGGATTAAAGGCGGTCTACCGACTACAGTCCGTGTTTTATACTGACCGGTCGTAACTAATATTTAGCTCTTATTAACCGAGCAGGAGGTCTGTATGGGAGAATCTTGACCGAGGTCGTGAGTACAGACCGAACGCAGTGAGGTCTGTACACACGNCAAAGAAGAAAACTTTAATGCGTTTAATGTAACTGGTTTGTACTAGCTGACATTTTGCTTGCGAACGGCGATGAACTTAACTTACACCTGCCGAAATTTGCTCGTCCTCTCTACTTTTTTTTCTGTCATTAGGCTTTTTGGCACTTTCATAAATGATTGAGAAGAAAATAAAAGAAAATGGTGAACATTTTTGTATTTTAGTTTGCTACTTTTTCAACGCGAAATGAAACCGGTCTGGATTCCGGTCTAGATGGGAAAATCTAGACCGCAGTCAATATCGATTTCAGCCAATCAAATTCGTGAATTCTGTAGTTCCCAGTCCATGTGAGACACAGCCATATAATAATACATAATACACGTACACGTATGTACGTGCTTTGCGAGCAATTCATTTGTTTTCTCCTCTATTTGCAGTTTCGCCCCCACGCAAGCACAAGAAAAAGCAAAAAATTTAGTCCTTGTGCTTGTGCCTCTGCTTATGCCTGCGTCAAGGCCGTTTTCACGGTGAAATAAGAATTATTATGTTTGCGCTTGTGTTTGCGCTTGTGCTTGTGTCGCTAGAGAAAATCCCCGTAGGCTTTACTGCGCAAGCTTAACAAAAACGGTTTTTCAAAACAATGAAAACGGGCGGATTATTCGATTGAGCCGCGTGTTTGTCGGCTAAGCATAAGCAATTCAATCGGAAAACTGATAGTTCCTGATTTTCAATCAGAAATCCTCGGGAACGAAGACTCCGGGTACGAGGCTAGTTTCTGACACATGTTGGCTTTGCCGCGTTTGACCCAAAATTCCAAACATTTTGACACAGGGGCAAATGGCACGAAAATTTCATCGAAAAGTTTCCGAAGATCTGAAAAAATTTTAATTTACGAACTGCAAACCATTCAACCGAATATTCCGTAAATTCCGGAAAAAAACTCTCAAATGGGAAGGAAATTCCCCGTAAGAAATTTTCGATAACTTGAGTATACCCCCCTTGCCTATCCTCATTTCGAGAAACTCCAGTAATTTCAGGACATTCAAACTGGAAATTTTGGTCGAAAAGAAAATGCCCATAGTAAGGTAAAGGTAAAGTCTGCATACGAGCCAAGCGGCTCATCAGGCCGGAGCTTAACCCGGTTTCAGTAGCATGAAGCGACTAGGAGTATTTCTACTCCCCCCTGGATGGGATGCTAGTCCATGGCAGGGTTACCTCCTGCATTAAATTCGCCGGTAGCCATTTATACACCTGGGTAGAGAGAGGCACCGTGAGAGTAAAGTGTCTTGCCCAAGAACACAACACAATGTCCCCGTCCAGGGCTCGAACCCGGTCCGGTAGGGCTCGTTTCTCGAAAGCCTTGGAAACTTTTCGGGCCCGTAAAGCCATAGCAAAATTTCAAACCTTACGATTATACAGCTGTTTTATTCACATATTCTTAATATGAAGAGAAGTTCCCTTCATACAAGAAGTTTCAGGCGTATACACCTCTCCGTTTTTAGATACAGATGGACTAAAAATGGCTTTACGGGCCCGAAAAGTTTCCGGGGCTTTCGAGAAACGGGCCCCCGGACCGCACGCTCCGGAGTCGAGTGCGCTAACCATGAGGCCACCGCGCTTCCCGCAAACGCCCATAGTATCAAACACAATTTGCGTGTATGAGTGACTTCAAAGCCAATATCACAGCTTTGAAGGTCTCTAAAAGCAAAAGTCCACTCGTCGATTCTGATGTAATTTCTAAGCTAATCTGAGGCCCCTTCCACACTACGCCGGAGGAATTTGAAAACGGATCGAGGTTCCACCCTAAAAACGCATCAAATGTTTTCCGTCAACATTACGCCGTAGGAATTTAAAAACTCAACAATCACCGGTCATTTTGAATTTCTGTTTGAGCTCGAGGACAGCGTAACTTGGTCAGGGAAATCACATGATTGTCGTGACTACATCGCTTTCGAAAAGCTCGGTTTTCGGGACGGATTAGTGTGGACGGTAGGCCTAACCGTAGAAATAAAGCTGCATTTTTAAATTTCTGCGGCGTAATGTGGACGCTGCCTGATATGAGTCACCGTTGCTGGCTTATAATAGCGATTAATTTCGAAATCAAATACTAATGATGGCTTCTAAGCGCGCGCTAAAGCCGTGACATCACAATCAACGTCTCGTTCTTGTTTGTACGTTGGCTGTCCACATTTTCAAACAACTTCTTACGACGCAAGCGAAAACACTTTTTGCTAAAGACATCGTCGCCGAGTAGGAAATCATCAGAAATGAATGATCTCGATCTTTGGTTTGAAAGCGCGAAGAAAGGCGAGGTGAAAACGCTGTGTAAACTCCTAGAAGACAATAAAATCACAGATGTAGATGTTCAAGATTCCAACCATCACACGGCGCTGTATTTAGCAGCAAAACGAGGACGAGATTTTTGTGTTACTGCTCTGTTGGATCTCGGAGCCGATCCTAACAGGTAATTCTGCACGATAGGTACATAATAATTAATAGTAAATAATGGTAATTTGCAGTGGCACATCCCAGGTAGAGGCTCTTCGTCCGCTGTTTCCAGATCGAATTGGAATTCAAAAGCGATGGTTTCTATGTAGAGAGGAAAACCGGCCGGAGAACCCGAAGAAAATCCCTCGGAGCAAGGCGAGAACTAACAACAAACTTAACCACTTACGACGCCGGGTCCAGGATTCAAACCCGGGCCACACTGGTGCGAGGCGAGCGCCCAAACCACTGCTACCATCAGCAAGAAACCAACAAGAGACTTCGAAGGAAACATTCAAAAACTAATTGCAAATAGCCGTCTTCCTATTCAAGTTTGCATTAGATGAATTTTGAATTAAGCTTTGGACGAATGGAATATAGTGTGTTGTTTTTTCTCCGCCAGCACGTCAGAGCACGGGAGGCCAGGTCAAGCAGCTTTAGAAGGAGATCATGTGACCTGTTTGACTTTATTACTACGTCGAGGTGCTGACCTTGAGACCAAGAATCACAATCAACAAACCCTTTTAGAGTGTATCACGAAAAAATACGGTCAGACCAGGACTGACAAACTGCTCAAGGAATCTGGTAACAAGTGGGGGGTTAAAGAACGTACGTCAGGTCCCGTTCACGTTATAGACCCTTTTCATAAATGGCTGCTAATTATAAATTCTTTTGTAAGTATTAAAATTAGCCTGACTAACCTCGTTTTTGAGTTGATAATTCAAAAGAATTTTTATCCCCAAATGGGTTTAGTGAGGCTAATTTAAATGCATACAAGAGAATTTTAAATTGGCAGCCATTTTTGAAAAGGTGTCTATGCCGGAGAATACGGTTAGGCTTACCGTATTTGATAACGCCGGCTTTGCGTGTTAGTGTAGACGAAAACTTTTGGAAATCGGAGTTTTTCGAAGACGACGACGTCACAATTATCATGTGATTTACCTTCCCAAGTTTTCCTCAAACGCAAATACAAAATGACCGGTAATTGTTGCGTTTTTTCAAATTTCTCCGGCGTAGTGTAGAGGGAAAACATTTGATGTTTTCAGAGTGAAAACACCGTAGTGTGGACGGTGCCTAAGTTTATTTCTTATTAATTTACTCATCACAAACTCTCTTAAATGTCTCGTTCGAGTTCCACTCCAGATCTACTTCATTTGCACTCACACAAAACCATTGTTGTAGTTTAATGCGTAGGACGTGTTGGCACTTTGGGTACGTCGCTTTGGGGTGATCTGAATCAGGATCAGCAATCCAAGATCACTCAGATCACATGCATCAAAGGAACTGATAAAGCCACTCTGATCACGGATTCATCGGTTCCTTTGACGCACCATGATCCGAGTGATCATGAATCACTGACCCTGATCTAAAGTAGATTACCCTAGAAGGAACGCACCATTAATGATATAACAAGATATAAAGAGGTCTGCTAGAGATTTTAAAGAATAGACGGTCGCTTTTTCTTGATCTGTTATATGACATTGTCATATGTGATCAAAGAAAGAATACCCCGCGCTTGGGTGATGTTTAAATGTCAGAAGAGATACAAAGTTTACTTGTCGCGGCAATGTGATTAACTCCATAAGATGTTAATCAAATCTAGGAGGCTTTCAGGGGGGAAGAGTAGCTATTCTGGACGGGAGACAAATTATTTTTAACACCGGAGTATAACCTCCTTTTTCTTAAAGGAGTTCAGTCGTAACTGAGTATGACTGCTGGAAAGTCCTGAGAACTGTTGCCAGCTATTGACATTAAAGAAAATTTTCATTAAGGAGGGGCGCTCGTTGGAAAAAGGTGAACCATGAATATCTCAGGGTTATTTTGGCACCGGTAGATACCTTTACAACTACATTTTTTGAAGAAAGAATATTATGCTCAAAGATCCGATAGGCATCTCTCGTTTTTCAACGGGTTTGAAATTTACTAACGGTACATTCCTTTACAACCCAATGCTAAATACTTGGCCAACAAGATGGTTTTTAAACTCTGATAGCAACTAATACCTTGTTGTTGAACATTTTCTACATCTTCTTCACCTGCGTACTTGATCATTATTTTGTTAAATCAAAGGAGCTCAGTCACGGTATTTTGAGTTATTTTGGCCACGTACAAAATTACCTTTAAATTAAAGGAAACCTGAAAATAGTAGTTTACTAAAATAGAAAAACATCAAAGAGATAATAATAAACCACAAAGGAACAAGGATGGTTAAGGATGGAGAAGATTGACACGAATTACAAACGACAAACTTGAAAAATTTAGGCTAAACTTTTCAAAATGCGCAAACCGTGACTAAGTTCCTTTAATTTTGTTGCACAAACTTTTGATTTTTGACATTTACAGAGAAGCAAAAAAGGAAAGATTCTACTCTGGAACGACGAAGGACAGCGCCTTTCGTCCATTTTGGTAAATATAACATAGCTATTGAAAACAAAAGCAACAATTTTTGATGAAGAGTGAGATGATGGTAGTTACAGAGAAGAGGTGTTCGTTAGCATATTCAACAGCAGCCATATAATTTTGATGATGATACAGACATTTGTGAATTTTTTTTTTATCTGGCCTTTATATATATATATATATATCACAATATCTAGGTCGGCGGTCAAGGTTACCGTACACCTTTAGAGGTGTCTCACGTCCAAGGATGTAGCGTGCCCGGTTTAAACTGTAGATACCTAAACCCCTATATCAAATTAAAGCTTATAGAGCTGGCTATCAAACTATACCAAGAGCTGAAATGAAGTAAAATGTCGAATTTTTTTACGACCTCTAAATGCGAGCACCCGAATCACCATTTGAAAGTTACAAGTCAAAGTGAATTTTGTTTTTCGCTTATTTAATTTGGGCTTAGTTTCCGGACCCAAAACGCGTCTGCGATTTGCCATATTCAATTCAGTGAAAAGTTACAGAACATTTTCGAAATAGGATTAAAAAATATGGTGTGATCATAGAAAAATCGCTCTCGTAGAAAAAATATGTGGAAAAAAAAAGTAATTGGCAGACAACTTTTTGTTGTTTACTATGTCAAACTAGCTTCTGTCCAAATTTGAGGGCAAACAAACGGGTAGCTTTAAAAAGGGACCCAAAGGATAATTCGGACGCTCACATTTAGAGGTCGTGAAAAATTCGACAATTCATTTTATTTCAAAAGTCTTGGTATAGTGTGATAGCCAGCTCTATGAGCTTTAATTTGATATGGGGTTTAGGTATCCGGACGCACTACATCCCTTGGACGCGAAACTCCTCTTAAACTGAAATCAGAAAAAAAAATGCGAAACCTGAAACAGGCTGGTGTGCAATAGGCGCAGTAGGATGCCATTCTATTTGGTTCTTGAAACAAGATAAATGACATCATATTAACCCCGTTTCTGTAGAGGAGTCCATTAAAAGCCAGAACGTGGACGAATTGACAAAAGGAAAGTAAATTGCGAAACCTGAAACAGACTGGGGTGCAATAGGGGTAATAGGATGCCATCTCTTTTTGGTTCTTGAAATGAAATAAATGACATCATATTGCCCCTCTTTCTGTTGGAGGAGTGGAGGCGCGGTGGCCTCATGGTTAGTGCGCTTGACTCCGGAGTGAGCAGTCCAGGTTCGAGCCCTGACCGGGGACATTGTGTTGTGTTCTTGGGCAAGACACTTTGCACTCACAGTACCTCACTCCACCCAGGTATATAAATGGGTACCGCCGAACATAATGCTGGGGGTAACCCTGCGATGGACGAGGAGTAGAAAAACTCCTGGTCGGTTCATGCTACAGAAACCGGCAACTTTTGTTTTTGTTTTTCTTCTTCTTCTTCTTCTTCTTCTTCTTCTTCTTCTTCTTCTTCTTCTTCTTCTTCTTCTTCTTCTTCTTCTTCTTCTTCTTCTTCTTCTTCTTCTTCTGTAGAGGGGCCCATTCAAGTTGATAGCGGACTGCGGGCGCCTGTTCCTCAGGTTCTTGGTTTAGAAATAGAATCGTATGAGCAACACGTGTATTGTTACGAGCCGTTCAGCTTTTACATCAAAGGGAAACTAAGAGACGGATATGTCACGTTAAAAAGATATCGGTGGGAAGTGAAAGAAGCCATTAAACAGGAGCAATTTCATCACGAGGTCACTGTGCTGAGGTAAGGATTATAACCTGAAGGTGACTCTGTTATTATGCACGTATACAAAGATAATCCTTTTCAATAATGGTATATCTTGTGCTTATACTTAAAAAGCGATCTCAGGGCTGTAGCTAGTAGCAGGCAAGCTGAGGTACTTGCCTCAGTCATTTCTTTAGTTTTTACTTTTGTTTTTGTTTTTGTTTTTGTTTTGTTTTGTTTTTGTTTTTTAAGGGGAAAGTAAAATACTGGTAGCAAATTAATAAACAAACGAAGAATTAACATTGCCTCAGTCATTATTTTTTTCTAGCTACAGCCCTGCAACTAGAAAACTATTTAAGAGACCACGTGACCAGTCATTTTTCGCTCCGCACCAATTAGTGTAACATCGACTGTGTAATTACTTTTTGTGTTTTCTCTTTCTTGCGTAGAGTTAGTTTAAGTATATCTTGCCCTTCCTAGCGAACCGGAAATTACTTTCAGTGGAAGTTATAACTTACGCGCGCGGATTGATTGACATATTGATATTTAGAGTTGCAAATAAAAGTTCCCGGATTTTGCGCGAGAGCGCTCACGTCATGGAAAATTTGTTGTGTGGATGATTTGTAGTAGTTTTCTCGGAGAAAATTTTGTCAATTGGATTGAAAATATAGAAACCTAAGGAGAAACAGTAACTGCTTGAAATTGTTATAATTGAACATGAAGTGGAGGAATATAAATGAAATAAAAAAAAAACTTGTTTTTATTTCATTGATATTCCTCCACTTCATGTTCATGTTCATGTTCAATTCTACATGATGTAGAATGGAGTAAAAGGTACTTAAGCTTTCTTTCACCCACCCGGTAAAGACATTTTGTAGATTCTGTTGAACATTTTTCAAGTTTCGTTTCCTCTGCATAAAGCTGATTTTCACCATTAAATAGACTCAAACATAACACCATTTACAAGCAAACAAAACTGTGAAAAAGTAGGTCTTGTTCGTAAGCTGTATTGATTTTCGTGAATTTGATTCGAGCACTCCAACGTTGCGAGGAAAAGATGTACAACGTGGAAAATACTACTCTTTTTTTGTTCTTCCCTAGCGACTTGCGCCATCCCAATATTCTCCTTCTTATGGCCGTGTGCAACAGTCTGGATCCTTCTCAGCAGGGCCTTGTACTTGAACCCGTAGAACGTGCCTTCCTGGGAAAGCTCCTTCATGAAGAGAGGACAATTTTCAGTGAGGACACTGTTTTGTGCCTCAGCAGAGATATAGCGTGCGCAATGCAGTTTGTACATCAGCGGGGATATATTCACTGTTATCTGGGATCCAGCAGTGTGGTACTAACTGAGAACTTCAAGGCTAAGGTTCGTTATTTTGCTAATCTATATTGCCTAGTTACATGCATCACATTTTGCGTGAGAAAGAAAAGAACCTTGAGGAATTTATAGAGGCTGAAACACTGTAGCAACTTACGGTTTAAATAATTAAGGATTTTGAATTCATTTGCGGCGTGCAGGATGGGACGCCATTGGTCACCGTTAGGGCTTTATTGCAAATTTTTCGACAAGTACCCCCGCCCCTTTCTCGCGGTAAATAGCCCCTTTTCCGGCCTTCTCCGGGCTCGCATTCTGGTGTCAAGGCTTTCCACCACAATCATGGTATTTATTAAATCGGGGAAAGGACTCAATTTTGTGCGCTTCTTCGTAGTTAGAGGGAGACGCTGTGCTCTAATGGTTAGCACTGGCCAGGGTCCTTGTGTTGTGGTTTTGTACCTCTCTCCATCAAGGTGTATAAAAGGGTATAGGTGAACCGGTTGAGGCAACTTGACAGATTGCTGCTCAGCGGATAGGGGTAACCTGTTGTTGGACTAGATTCCACCCAAGGGGATGTGGCAATACCCCCAGACTGGGATAAACTTCTGCGTGGGTCAGTCTCATCAAAGAATAACTTATACGTAACTTTATTATATAGACACCACTGGAAAAATACACACGAAGCTACATCCAGGACCCGAATGGCGTATTTTGTCGTATTTTGATGACGTCATTTCCTGCATTTTCACGGTTGCTTGTGCAAACGGTCAGTTTGTCTATATAATGAAAGGAAAGTTACACGGTGGCTTAGAAATATGAATTTTATTCCTCTCGCCACTTCTGTCCTTACCACATTTTGACGTCATCTGTGATCTCTTACTGAACAGACGCACGCCGGCATATGGAATCTATTTGTTGATTCCATTAAAAAGCATTTAATTTTGTTTGTTTGAAAACGCGATTTAAGTCAACATTTTGAAATGTAAACAATAAAGGCACCAGCTGAACTTTAAATTTTTTTGTAGGATTGAATACGTATGTAAGAAGTGTGCGTTCCCAATGTCAGCTAATAGTATTACGTTTCTTCAGATCTGTAACTTTGAGTACGCTCAGCGTGTCCAATATGGCGACTCTAGCGGCGTTCCCATCAGCCACCTCGATTACTTATATGACTGGATGGCTCCAGAACAGTTAAGTGGTAAACCCGCTGACCAAGCCGGTGACGTGTTTAGCTTCGGAATTCTTGTCTGGGAATGCGTCACGAGAAGACGACCTCTAAAATATGTCAAAAGCTTGGAACAGTTAACTAAAACGACTGTGGATCCGAGACTGAAAAAGATTCCAAGGAACTGGAGCCAGACGTTCAATATTCTCATTGGGGATTGTCTAAAGTCTGCGGAGAACCGACCAAACTTCCAACAGGTATAAAGGGATTTTTTTTCTTTTTTTTTTTTACCAAAAGTGATAACAATTTCAATTCTTTGATTTTAAAGGAGCTATGCCACGGTTTGCGCATATCTTGAAAAAGTTTAGCCTAAATTTTTCAAGTTCTTCGTTTGTAATTTGTGTTAATCTTCTCCATCCTTTACCATCCTTGTTCCTTTGTGGTTTATTGGTATCATTTCCGTGCTTTCCTATCTCAGTGAACTACTATTTTCATCGTTTCTTCGATTTAAAGGTAACTTTGTAGGTATAAAATAATCAACTAGAAGGTATTAGTTGCGCTCAGAGTCAAGTACACGGCATTGGGTTGTAAAGAAACTTGACGCTCGTAAATTTCAAACCCTTATCAGATGTTTGAACGTAATGTTTTTTTTTTTTTTAAGTATACATAGCTGTTAAAGTATATCCATCATTGTCAAAATAACCCTGAGATATTCATGGTTCACCGCCTTCCTCCAACCAGCGCCTTTAATGAAAACTTTCTCTAAGATGGCTGGCAACAGCTCCCAGCACTTTGCAGGACTCGGGCAAACCCACAAACTAAATCGTCTTTAACAGCTAATTGGCGTTTTGCAGGGCCTGCGAAAACTGTTTTTCTTGAACTCTTCAATCTTGGGTAATGCCATTCCCTCAATTTTCTGGGCCCGATTCACTGGTTTTTAGCGGCCCTCTCTTTTACCCCTCTCTCGGCAGTAATTAGAGAGCAGACTAGAGAAGACGGTGGAAATTCAGGATAGCGCTCAGTACGAACCCTAATGTATAGATTTACAACTGCCAGTTACAAAAGCATCGATTGTCTGAATTATGCTGATCTTATTATCATTTCTTTAGATCTACGGATGGTTGTCCGCCATGGTGACGTCACAGTTCACATGCGTACGTCCAAAAAGCTTCGTCTTAGAACAGCACGATAACTTGTTTCCATCGAAAACGTCAAAGAAAGTTATTTCATAAGGCAAGTGTATAGGGGGCTGCAGCCACTGATTAACAAAGAGTCATTTTGGGGCTCAGCAAAAAGCTATAACCAATTGGTTGACACTTAATAAGCGTTTCGTCGAGTTTGCGCGTTTATGTTCATTAACTAGTAGTGAAAAAATAAATTGCGAAAAAGGGAAGAAATATTAGCTCATGAAGAAATTAATGTATCGAAATAATTTTTTATTAGTTTGAAGATTTAGAAAACAATGACCAAACAAACAAATAGACAAAACCTGTTGATTGCGTCTTCTATTATTTACAGAGTTATTTTACGGTAAATGTACATTATCTGAATGACACTCGTTCCAGAATTGGTTGCACATGCCTAAACATAACGCACTACCTCTACTGTAAGCTCTCGATTGTGTGAACAACAGAGAGGAAAAATCTTATCTATCCACCAGGAAAGATTGTACAACTCGTTATTTGCCTGAAAAAAAAAATTGCTTCTTCCATACGTGCCTGAGTTTACTGCACGGAGAGACTATTTACTAATTGGATCATTCATTATTAAAATATTCTTTCTGCGATGCCAATTTATTCAAAATACTTGTACATGCAAAGCAACTTTTAGTCAAAGTAACTGATCTTTCCTGAATAATCTATATACAATAATGGACTTAGAAATTGCGTCTTGTCATTTTTTACAACTATAATTATGGTCGTGCTAGCTTTGTTCATTATCTTTTAACAAATTAGCAAAACGCAAAACAAGTGAAAGTAAAATAAAGCATAGTTTTTAAAAGTCCGTTAGTGTTATCATAATTTAGCCCGGCGGTTTCTCATGTGACCGTCAGCGTTGTTGGGGGTTTGTTCCGCACTGTGGCTATCAGAGTCCCAGGCTTTCTCTTTTTTTGTCCACCGCTGGCCGTCAGGTGCATTCGTCGTTCAGTTTGCATCTTGGCATTGTAGTAAGGTACAGAATCGGGGTGCTCCATTAACAACTCAAGCTGAAGCCGATCAAACTTCTCCTGTTCGTCTTCGGGGACCTGACCCTCTCGGCCAACCTTCGGCTCATCGTCGGCTCCGAGGAACGACTCCGAATACCAGTTCTCAAACTCGGTCACCAAGCGATTCCTACATTGATTTACAAGTTTTTCGCAGTACATGACTTCAGATTTGGTATTCAGAAGGTCCTCGTAATCGCGTCGGTAGCGCGACTTCAGATCTTTTACTTTACGGAGGAGTTCGTACTCATCTTCGTCAATCACGACTTGTCCGTCGTCTGTTCGGAATTCACCCTGTTCGAGCCTCTCTTGTTTACGAGTTTCCAGCATTGCTCCAGAGTCGTTGATTTCTTCCATGAGACTGTTTACCGACGAGGAAAGCTCTTTGGCTTTCTTCTTTTTCTCGCGTAGAATTTCTGAAACACGAGTTGAAAGATATAATTTAGTAAAAAAAAAAAGAAAGAAAACAGTTGACTACCATTTGAACTAAATAAACATGACATTATTTACTAGCTTAGTTGGTTATATAACATGGTTCTGCTGTGTAGCCAAAGACACTCTGGTAACCTACTGTATATGTTGTAAACCGACTGTGGTTTTTATTCATTTTCTGATCGCGTCTTTCTCATTTTGAAAATTTCCTGGTGTATGAACTACTTCCGCAATGCGTATGAATGAATTTAAGTCATCTCACACAAGCTGATACAAAAACTTCGAAAACTGGAGGCGCCATTTCTTACTGACAGTTTGCACTGTTTTATTTATTGCCAATACAAATTACAACTTACACTGTTCGCCTATATAAATACTGCAATACATTAAGTCACAATAAAAAAAGAAAACTATTAAATATTAATTACGAACCATAGAACCGCAGAAGACAATCAACGCGTCAACGGGCAATGCTTCAGTTAATGCTCTCAAGAGACTCTGTTCCCTGAATATGTGGTGTGGTTGTTAATTCACTGTTCAGAATTAACTTCAATAGTTTACTTACCTTTATTTTGATTAAGAATCCTATTGATCTCACTTCCTCGTTCCTGTTTGAATTCCTCAAAAGCCTCGCTCTTGGGTGGAGGCGTGGCGACACGCTGCGTGGGAGACTGAGCCGAGGGAGACTGGAGCCGATCTTGTCCATCACTACCGGCTTGCCCATCAGTTTGCCCGGCACTACCCCGGGCGGGCGACTTAGCACTGTCCCTCTCTTTCCCCTTTCCACGGCTTTTCACCTTTCTTGTGTTCACCAGGGTGGACACGTTTGGTTTGACGCCGGGGGGAGCAACTCCTACCCCGAACCCTTGACCGTCCACTTCGCCAACCAACCCACTCTCTTCACCTTGGACAGTGCCTACTTTACCACCTGAGGCTGCAAGTTATACACATTGGTCAGCGTTTGATTTATAATCAATGTAATGCTTCATGTAAGCTAATTTGACTCCGCAAGAGGTATATGGCACTTTCGAGCCTGGAGCCGAGGGAGGGGAAGGCGAGGAGGAGAGGCTGGAAAACTGGTATTAAAGAGAGCAGAAACTAGAACGAGAACAGGTAACAAGGATTCTCAAAGTAGCAGAAACTTAGAGAAACTGGAAAAATTTTACAGTGTTTCGTAGTATTTTGTGAGAGAAAAAGCTACAAGATGTAAAATTTGTAGTGTACAAATTCTATGTGGATCAGTATGCTGAAGTATGCATAACAACTCGAATTACTTAGTAATACCTAAAATCACAAGCCTTAAAATCATAATTACAACTTAAATGACCTTAACAAAATAAACTTCCCTAAAATAATTCCTTAAAAAGTAGGGACTAGAACGGGGAGAATTCTAACTCGAACTAGAGGCAGGGAATTTAGAACTACTCTATCCTGGCCCCAACCCCTATAGTTCCACCCCTCGGACTGTGAATAGGACTTCCGGTAAGCGCAATATCTTTAAAGTGTCCTATAGGTAATACTGACCAGAAGTCACTCCATCTCTTTCGTGCAACACATATTTCTCTCGCAGCTTTTCCTCCACCTCTGACTCCATTGAGTTCACGATCACTCGGAACTGCGCGAACGTCTCCTTGATTTGCCGAACATTGACGAGCTCGATGTCGTTCAGTTCGCCCGACAAGAATCGCTTCACCTGCTCACGGACATCTTGAATTTGCGACTCCGACAGCGGCTCGTACGAGATTTGGCTGCGATTCGTCAGTGTATCGTGCATGGCGAGTTCCTGACGCAGAGTGCGGATTTCCTTTTCGTGTTGCTTGCAAAGCCTTAGTGTGTCGAAGTGTTCTGTCACGGCTGGTTCGGATGGCACGTTCATCATTCGGCTGCCAAAGCGCATGGTCGAGAGCTTTGAAGAAGAAAACACAAGAAAAGTGTACTTAGATTTGCCTCGTCCTAGAATCTTTTTCTGGAAAACCGTAATGAGCTTCTGTTCTAGTTGACCTTGCAAAAATAACTGACTATAAGCCATAGCGGCGGGAAGAAATAGGAAACAAAATGCTCTCATGACAAAGTACTACAAAATGTTTATGGTATCCTGTAATAAACCGGCATCCAATTCAACCAGAATAACGATACTGGTTGTTTTGATATGGGTAATCTAAGGGAAACTACGCCTATATAGAACAGGGTGATTGATTAAGAGTCCACGAATCTTATTGGTTATCTCCTAGTTCAGTGACTATTGCTTAAAGGACGATTATACGCGCGTCATCTTGAAAGCAGATAGCTTTCTTATTTCCTGCTTAAACGTACCTAAAATTGGTCTAAGATTGTTGTCCACTATGGTTTTTTTCAGTGGGGGGGTTAGATCCCAGTGAGAGTAACGCAACTGGATTGAGATTCGAAAGTCTTGATCTTACTGCTATCCAAAGGTTCCTAATGTTTACTAGATAAAGACAATTGTACTCTACACTCCCTTGTTTAGAAAATAGCTGTAGAAAATTGTGTCTGATAGTCGAACTGTTGAATAGTGAATGAAATATGCCAGTTCTAGCGTGTTATGTTCAATTCGGAATGCGATGAATTGTGAACAGGTGAAAAAAACTGACCTCATGTAGCAACGTATAACACTGCCTAATTGAAAATGCATGTCAATCTTAGCTTAGTAAGGCAGTGTAGAATATTCTTTACCGTTTCCTCGATGTGCTCGGCTTCTCCCCATATATTCGCTATCAACAGTGTATTACACTTCCCACCAATTGAATCCTTCAGCACGTGTGTCAGTTTGCTCTGTCGAAATGGCACGTGATCTCTTCGTCTATCAGACAGTGCTATCACAGCTTGTTCTAAAAATGTCAGCGACTTGTTGATGTACATGGCTTCCACTTGCGTTTCGCCGACAGACAGCGTTTTTCCGAGTCTCTCGGAGCCAGCCAAGTCCACGAAGTTCAGCTTGGAAGTGACGTACTTCGTGTTGGACTCGACGCGCGAGTGAGATTCGATGTAGATGGTGAAGACACAGTGCGAGCGAGAAGAGCGTTTGTTCAGTGCGTGTTGAGCGATGATACGGTTTGTTTCTCCCTGAAATAAAGGTTTTGAAACTCGGTTATTGATTATACACCGGGCCACAAGGAAATGGTGAAAAAGGGTATTTTCATGAATAATGTAAGATCGCTCCTTTTTTATTCTTAACAGTTCTGCGTATATAGCAGTGAGCCGTGAGCCGTGAGCCGTGAGCCGTGAGCCGTGATTTAGCTGCTGCGTGCACCGTGTTTTTTGGATTGTCACTCAAACTTGACAAAGGGCTTAAGATTTATTGCAACCTTGTTCCCAGGCTCTCGTCCCACTAGGGCGGGAAGATGGGAGACCCTGGGAATTAGGCTGACTTTATTGCATGCTGGGAAACGTTGTCAAGATCCCTGCCATCATCAGTTCTTGTTGCATCATGGGATGCATAAAGCCACACATCCCATCCCCACCAACTCTTGGGGTTGATTTAAATGCTACATTTCTGATGTGTGCAACAAGCGTCTGAGAAGTCTTAGAATTATATAAATTGTCTTGTATAAATAAAACTTACAACTTGCTTGTGACTGTTCCTATATGACATGAAAATGTTGTAGGATGTACCAGAACTAACATTCTACTCAAATTTAATTTGAGAAATCCCTGGAATCTCGAGAATTCAAACAAACTAGTCTATTGTTCTTCCTGACAATCCTTTGTAGTTTTGACAAGGAAAAACCCTAAGCCAGTATCAGCACTTGTAACATTAGATTAAGAAACTCTCATACACTCTTCAGTGATAAAAGTCACTTGTGCAGTGTCTGATCTAGGATTTTACTTTAGGGGGGGACAATCTGTCCCACACAACAATTTTCTAGGGGACATTCCAGTTTTTGGGGGACACCCTGTTTTTGCTTGTGGGAAATAAAAAAGTCAAGTCAGCATAAATGAGCTATGAGTAGTACATGCATGTTACAAAGACGAAAAAACAGGGGGAAACACAACTTTGCTGGGGAAGATCTAGGGGGTTCGGTTGAGCCCCCTAGACAAAAAAATGAGACATTATAACACGCTGATTGCCAGAAATCCCATCAACGAGGACCTCAATTTTTAAATTTTCCGGGGGAGGATGCCCCCGGGTGGACCCCCCATACAGTCGGCGGTTCGGATCTCGAACCCTCTTCTCTAAAATCCTGTATCCGCGACAGACCTGCCACATTGTAAATGACCCCTCACTACTCCAATACATAAACACGTACCCCCATTTGCCTATAAGAAATTATTCTCACCTCAAAAAGTAGGTTCAGAGCTTCTTCCTCGCTGTTAGCCTGGTGGACACTAAGCCCCTTAACTCTCGTAAATCCATCATCGTCTTCAGTGACTGCCATCAGGGAAGGATTTGACACTGTGCCAGGTAATGTACAGAGCAAATCGAACATGTGCTCATTGTAGATTTCTAAATAAGAGATCCGAACAGTCACGGCGTGCTCCGGTCTTTCGCGTATCTCCCTGTAAACCTGCTGAATTGCCCGCGGGATAATTCCACGGTGCTGGAATTTCTCTGTGGACCCCGTCATCGTGAACGTCTTGCCCGCACCCGTCTGTCCATAAGCCAAGATTGTCCCATTGTAACCGTTCAAGCCCTTCGAGACGATGTCCGCAGCGCATTCCTTGTAAACATCGCTTTGACTGGCGTTGTGCAAGACGCGATCTAAATGGAAACCCCAGTCGAGTATTTGATTGTTGATGTATCCTCTTCTCAAATCCTTCTTACAGTGGATATTGAGCGACTTTCCGTCTGGCAGGAGTTCGATCATGTCCTGCGCGAATCTTGCCGTCGGTCGAATTCTGGCATACACTTTGACACGTCCATTGTCTTCTTGAAGCATTTTGCTCTTGTTATTTCCCGCTACCTCAACGAAAAACCGCAAAAATTCAACAACAATCTTTACTTTGCTTCTTCCCGATCGAATCTGCTCCCTCTGTTGCTAAGGTAATCGTTTCTTGTTGCTAGGAGTATTGCGCATAAAGTTCCATGAAGACTGCTGAGCATTTGCTTGCAGGCGCTAAAACAAAATGGCGGACGGAGGAAGTCACGAACAGGGACTAGAGTTTTTGCAGAAATGCTCAAAGCAAGAAGCCGAGAAAGTAAGTGGAAAGTGAAAAAACGTGAGAACAGGGGTTGATATCTTCCTTTTTGTAAACTGGAAATGCATTACTCCTTTTCCTTGGATTTGGAAATCAAAGAATACTCGAGTGTCTTGTTTAGGCATGCATGTAGCTGGTCAAAATGATTTCAAACTACTTTGATTTGTATTTTTCTTGTTTTAGGATTATGATAACAAATGTGGAACAAAGGGAGATACAAATGAAACTGGTTTTAAATCATTTTGACCTGAAATTCATTTTAACATGCCGCATAGCCTTTGAAAACATATAAGCTTAACCTTTTAAACGATATTGGCTAAATTTACACTAAGGATGAATTATCCGAATTTAAGCTATTTGAACTTTTTAACTCACATAGATAACACAGGAACTCCTAGATTGTATATGCAGTGGGAAAAACTTGAGATATGAGAACTATGGAAAGATTTGGACCACTGAAGAATGGAAATTGTTACAGCAAGCTGGGATAGAAACTTTGAAAGGATTCACTTCAAGAGGGCTAGACAAAGAACAGGTTTGATGCGCTGCATGTTATATTTCAACGAGGATAACAAGAAAATACGGTTAAATTGAATGAAATAGAAACCCTGCAGTTCAATCAAGCATACTTTTTCTTAATCAATCAATCTAGCAATCATTACGTCAATAAACAGACTTTTAACCAGATGGGCTGATCAGTTAGTCAGCCGGTTAGTCAATCAGTCAGTCAGTCAGTCAGTCAGTCAGTCAGTCAGTCAGTCAGTCAGTCAGTCAGTCAGTCAGTCAGTCAGTCAGTCAGTCAAATATCTGTAAACAGGATTCGAGACAGATGGGCTGATCAGTCAGTCAGTCAATCAGTTAGTCAGTCTATCTGTCTGTCTTCCAGTCAGTCAGTCAGTCAGTTAGTCAGTCAGTCAAATATCTGTAAACAGGATTTTAGACAGATGGGCTGATCAGTTAGTCAATCAATCAATCAATCAATCAATCGCTTACTCTCTTTCTTGTTTGATTGGTCAATCAACCTTGATTGATCAATCAACCAGTCAGTGAATCAATCATCATTTTTGGAGTTCAGGTACAGGGCTTTAGCTTAAAGGAAGATCAGATAGTTTTTGAAATGAATGAATATCTAAGTGTAGGTCTTGTGTTTGGAAATGTGATTTCTGGTTTAGATCTTGTAAACCTATAGCTTAAAAGGCCCAGTCTCACCCATTTGGCTTTGTAGCTGTTTGTTTTTGTAGTGATTAGCTTATATATAAGACTTAAAGGAATAAAAAACAAACAAGCCTTTTTTGAAAAAATAATCCACTGTACATAGTCATGTTTATCGTGATGCAAAAGAATGATGTTGAGATAATAAAATCCTAAGAAATTAAATTGTTCTGCTAAATTAGTTCCTTGGTATTAATACATGTACATGTACACTCAGGATGCATTTCAGTATTAATTTTGTAATCTCTGTCTCAGATTCATATGGTTATATAGCTATAGACTTTAAAATTGTGTTAACAACATGCAGTGTGAAAAAGTAAATACTATCTTAGTAGAACTGCTTACTTTGGCGTACATCTTTTTTTATACAGATTTCTAAGGAACTTGACAGGTTTTCTCTATCATCTGAAGTCAAGCAAGCTGTCCTAGATTGCATTTGGCCTCGTCAAGAAGAAGTTAGACGTAGTTTAGTGTCAAGTACGGCAGCTATAACAAATTCGTACCTGAAAGACTTTGACTGGAAAGTCAAGGTAAGTGAGACAGTACTTAAGTTGTCGTGAAACAAAATCTGTACACTTGCATCTAGTACTATTCAGTTAGTACTAAGTTTACATTGGTGTAAGTTATGTAAATTGAACATTGATTTTTGTCACACTTTATTTAACAACATTTTAATGTTAAAAGCATGGTTCTCACCACCTCCTAATTAGTTTCTGTATTGTCATTAGTTTAATACCCACATCAGATCATCAATGTAATGTTGACTCCTTAATGTAAAATTTAATCACAGTATTACAAGAATGCAATAAACTGGCCAGTAGTATAACTCTGATCTCTCAGACGAGAGTTGAACATGCCAGTCGCCAGTTAAGATCCCAATGGGGAGAGGGGAGGGGGGACTCCCATATAAAAAGGATGGGAGTGCTTGTCGTACTTTTTGGGATTAAAAACGCGGTTTTGGTACCTCTTTGGCTGTTCAGCCTCAAAAGGTCCACAGTGTGAGCTTTTGCTATATTTTTTTAGGGTATTGACCAGAAAAAAATTTGGCAGGAGATGATGTGTTGTTTTAGAACTGGCACTTCTTAGGGGTGAAAAAAATTTTCTAGCCACACTCTCAAAACAGGATCCAAGTACCTCTTAGGGGTTCTTTTCGAAATTTCTGACAAGCACTCTTGTCCTTTTTATATAGGAGTCTTCTCCTTCCCCCTAAGGGTTAGGATATCATGCTAACTGGGTACAAAATCCTGATTTATTGAATGATAATTTTGAACCTGTAGATGATCATGTCCAGTGACAAGTTAGCAAACATTAAAGAACCTGTAGTCGCACTTGACTTTGATGTTGTTGAGAGTGGTGAAGATAGGAATGTATCTGTAGAGCTTACAAAGGAGGAACTTAACAGTCTTATATCATCATTAGAAGCAGCCAATAAGGTAAATATTCAACACTTGATGGTCCCAAGGGAAACAATTAATTTGGTTTCCTGCGTATCTCAATGAGATTTGAGGGAAACAAAATCGGCTGGTTTTCTGAGAAACCAGTGATATAGCCTCGAAGAAGCCCATGAGAGTGCATTCTGGAGAATGTTGAGGAAGAACTACATGTAATTTCAGGGAACCTCGGACTAGGAATTTAGCATTATCTTGTCAGAGAAAATTAGTTTAATTTGGTTGTAGGCTTTTTTAATGGTTTTGTTGAAAACAGTCTTCTGATTATGATCATAATGAAAATTTCCAGTTAACATTAGCAAATTTAAACATAAACTGGCTACCATCTCTTGCATCATATTGTTTCCTGGTCAGTGGAAAGGAAATTGGAATAACTATTTGTTTTCTAAATGTTGGGGCAAGTGTTCACTAATAAAACAATGTAGGTGAAATATAATACAAGGTATACATTCAAATACATGTAGTACCAGTCTGATTAAAACTATTCTTAGTTTTAAAACATGGTTTTGTGCTCAGTGTGCTCTCGTCTCTACACAGGTTGTGATGCAGCTGAAAAAATGATAGAATTATGGAACACTTTTTTTTAATAAATAGGATTTATAAATATTCATATTAAATAGCCCTGAGACATATGTGACTTTGTTCATAATCATTCCTTGCATGCACTGTTTTGTAATAATGTGGTGGTTTTATTACTTTAAAGAAAATGACAAAACTTTTAAATTTGAAAGACATGTTTCGACAGAACCTCCTGTCATCTTCAATTAATTGATGTACAAACCATTGGAAGTTAAATTTATAATAAGCAGAAAAATGCTAATTGGAATGAATAGTAACAACAAAATGAAGCATTTTTCTACTTATTGTAAATTCAACTTCGAACACTTTGTACATCAATCAACTTCAGGAAGATGACAGTAGGTTCTCTCAAAACCTGTCTTTCAAACTTAAAAGTTTTGTAATTTTTTTTAAATTCTTGACTTGCCTGCTATTATCAAGACCCTTTTATTACTTTATAAAAAATTATTTCATGGATAGAGCATTATTTGGGAACTTAACACGGGTGAATACAGATGTACACATGTACACATGATATTAAAGTTGGGGGCCCTGGGGTAAAATTGTAAGTTGGAGCTTGACCAATTTTTCCCCTAGTGCTTTGATCTCCCAGAATGCTTAGTTATATTATTTCAGTCAAAAACGCCCCTTTTTCACATCTTGAAAGAATTAATGTCAGAAATTTGTCAGGCCAGAAACACTTTTAATTTACTAAGAAGCTAGGATTAGTTTACATTTATGCCTGTCATAGATTCCATGTTTACTAACTAAAAAGAGAAAACTTGTAGCTGGTAAACAAGCAGACTTATTATTGCTTGTGACACTAAACTAATTAAACTGTATAAGAGTGATTCAAAAACTGTAAAAATATTACTTTTACTTGAGATCATCTTCCTCTTACAAAGCATTTTCATACCATGGGTGAAATAAAGAATTCAAAAGGAATTTTATTGTGCCATCAGTGTTTTCATTGGTGCTTATCTTCTACCTAGGGAAATCTGGCAATGTTTCATCAGTATTCCAACATCTTTACAGTATTGCACAGGCTGGAGTTTAAAATCGAACTACCAGCACTAGACGGCTGCCTTCTTGGAATAGAACAGATTTACTTTTGGATTTGTGTACAAATTTTGTTGACCTTCCCCCACACTCCAAACCTTCTCACTCTCCCTCCCGATGAAAGACAAACATCTGTCATCAGAGCTTTAACTCAGGACAAGAAACACAAATAAAACTGACTTCAATAAGTGGGTGTCCATATTAAGGTAATGTCAGTATTAAGCAGGTATCTGTAGAGAGCAATTTCTCTTAGAACTTTGAGAAACTTCAGTCTATGTTACCAATAAATTTATAAACTGTTTAAGATCAACCTCACGGGAAAGTGTCACAATGAAAAAACAAAGAAACATCATCGAAAAGGAAAATACTTCTACATTGTATTTTGCTCTGTAGAATCTTTTTATGGACTGGTGTATTTGGTGGTGGTATTTGACATTATTTGTAGTGAAATTAGGTAAAAGAGAACTTTCAATAAAATGGAATTAAATATGTTGTTTTTTTTCCTCAAAGACCTTGCCTGGGTTATGTGTGAAAAACAATGCATATTGATCATTTCATTTCACCCAACTGCTGAAACCAAACTTTTGTTACTGTTAAAACAAAAGTCAATTAAAACAGAAAATGTTTTCTATTTCTTTTTACAAATACTACAATGAAAAGCAAGGAAATAAGTCTTTTATTACATTTATTGCAATGTAAATTGTTTGTTCGCTCAATCATTAATTTAACTTTAAATACGTACTAGTTCTCCCAGTTTTAAAGAGTATTGCAAGGTATTTTCTAATAATTGCTTGTTAGAGACTTGGGCTTACAGTTTAATTTTTTGAGTAACACCTTAAAAGAGGTTTTCTGAGCTGGAAGTTGAGTTTACAAATAGCTTTCTAAACTAATTCTTGATGCAATATGCGTTGATGAGGATGATTCCACAACAAATGTCCGGTTTAATGGTTGCGCAAAGATATTATCAATCCTTTACCATTCTGTCACAGTTCTCAAGGGGGCCACAAATTATAACATCTTGAAGACTCTGTCAACTTAGCGTGAAAGGAGAATGTTAGCTGAATATTTTAGATGTGATCACATTTTAAAATGCCATGCAAATAATTTATTTAGGCAGTTGATGTCCATCGCCATTGCAGTTTTATTCCATATACAAATATGCAGATTGTCAAAGTTTGCAACCAATCCTGAGAGATTATCACAAAAGACTGACCACCATGTTGGATGACACAAGCAAAAGAAACTAGTCAGAAATCTTTTGCTCAAGTCATCCTATATGGTGGCGATGACGTCATTATCATGTGAACCAAGAATAGTGGCTTCAGTTGTTGTTGCGCTGTGCTGCAAAATCCAAAATCCTTCAAGCGATACAGATTCAAATGGTTCCTTAAAAAAATTAGAGAATATCCCCAAGCTGTACAACACAAGCTCGCAACTCATCGTAGTATGTCAGTATTAATCCACGTGCAATGTTACGTCACCAATCATTTCATCATATAAGCTACTGGCATTCTCAGGTATTCTCGATCTCCAGGGCTTGCAATGATAGGCTAGGGTTTGGGATCACCAGAAGTGAACAGTTACATCTTTCACTTAAATCTTTCGGTAAACCGTTTCGTAATCAACATTTGAGTATCGAGAAATCTTTCCACACAGTTTACGATGCATGTTTCTGTCTTGCCATCGAATTTGCTGCCGGGTTTTTCCACACACTTATCCCAGCACATATCGGTGAACGCAGCGACCTGAGTATTAAACTTGAACAGTTGTTCTTGAGCTATCAGCTCCTGTTGGAGCTTTTGATCGACTTGGGAGTTACCGGATGATCCTCCAAACGACATTTTGAGCCAAGTAGACTGTTGCACGTGTGAAAGACAAAATGGCCGACGATGTGGACGCGCTAAACTGGGCGCAAAGGTGACGTGCGCGACAACCTTTTTCCCTGGCCGCTATTTCAATGTCACGCAACGCAAAAGCTTTCAAATTAAAACGTGCATCTAAATTACAAAACGAAGAACCCTGTCGAACTAAAACTTTGTAATATGTCAAGTCAGTTAGAGGGAATCCATTTCAAATGACCACATTTAGCCAGCTTTGATTTTATGACTGTCTTAACTTTGCGTAAATATTCCATTGAAGAAAAACTGAAAAAAGCAGGAATGGAGGCTACAAAATCTGTTGTCACATCCGGTGGTATCCCATCATACACTAAAAGCACAATCTATGATCACGTGGCCAGAGGCATGATGTCTTCGAAAATATGGCGGGTGTTGTTGCAAGGTAAGACATTTTTCTGTTTTTATTTGCTCTCCTGTGGCTTGTTCTTGTATTATCATAAAGTAAGAGTTATTCATGGCTTCAAATTGAAAAGTAACTTGCAGAAGTTAATGCAAGTGGAAGGAAACTTTTTTAGAAGGTGAATTTGAGCACATGGCAAAATAACATTCTATTGATTAGAGTTCTTCCTCTACCACAGTCAGTACATGGTCTAAGCTACTAAATCACTAGGTTAGCCTTCATAACAAGGAGTGTCCAAGAGCAAATAATTGTGCATATTTTGCGTGTTTTTGGTCCTTAAACAGGCAATAAAAGAACTTGGCCAATATCCAGCCATCTTGACCTCACGCCTGGTCAATAACCCATACATGTATGTACAATGTAACTGGACTGAGTGGAGCACAATTCAGGGTGTAGATGACAAGGAAAGTTTGTTTTCTGACAACAAATCATGGTCGTTTTCCAAGCTAGTCTACAGCTCGGAAACTTTTATATTCTAACCTGTTTTCTGACCTCAATTCATGGACATATTCTGTCCATACTACAAAATATTCATTCCTGATGACAAGGGTTGAGTTTTGAAAATCAACAGCAGCTTTGAACAGTTGCCTTGAATCAATGCATAGATGATGTAATTCAACCCAGCTGCAAGGAGGGCCAAATCGGTGAACATGGTCGTCGCAAAAAAAAGTCTCGCTACAGACTGGATTATGATTGTATTGCATTTCGTGAATGCAATAACTAGTGTTATCTTCAAAACAAATTTAACCACAAAATAATAGCATGCTTTAAACAGGGATCCAGATTTGCAGTCATCCAGTTGTCCGAGACCACTAAAAAATTGTAAGGATCACCATATCAATACAAAAACTCATTTATTGGACAAGTTTAGTTTGACTTGACCAAAAAAGAACATTTCTTAAATTTTCTTGTAAGTTGGCTGCATTCTGACCACTTGTCATCCATCTGGAACTTTTAGAAAACAGAGAAATATTTGCAGCTTTCTTTTGCAATAAAATCATCATTTTGGTCCACAATCTTGGATGATGTGGTATTCTCCGTGACTAAAATCATTGCAGGCTCAATTTTCATTTTGTCAACCACTGACACTGATGCTCACGAAAACATGTGATACGATCGCTTCAGATGCTAACACTTCAGAAAAACAAGCCAAATATGAACAGAAGAGTCAAACATTCGTTTCAGTCTTCATGGCACTCAAAGAGGCCTTGGTTTTCATTTGTACCTGGATATTCTGTCTCACTGTTCTGAGAGACTGGTCTGGTGAAAATGATAAAAAAGTACACTTTCCATGTACAGTCATGTTGTTCAGGTACCATTCTTCCCTGTTGAACAGGCTACTAAAAGTTTGGCTGATGACTTAGAGAAAAAACCAATATGGATCCCTGCTTTAAATAATGTAAAAGGATACCAATGAGGTGAATATTATGATAAAGGGACCCAATGGGCATGTTAGCATGAAACCACAACTTACATTAATTTTCAGGGAGAAAATGCTCAACACTGTAATGCCCATGTTGGGCTGTTGAAAATGCACTCCTATAGGCCCCTACACTAGTTAGTTTCATGGAATTAAAATAAACTTACTACTAAAAACCCTATAACTTGGGAAGTTTTTTTGGAGAAGGCTTTATCAGGAGCTAGTTTCTTTAGCTTGAGTAATTTAAGCCAGAGGACTTAAAATCCATACTGTAGGGATATCATAGGATTGACTCGCAAAACGGACGCTACCTCAGAAATAGCCTTGGGTCCTTGCTTTTATGTTGTTCAGTAGGAACCTGGTAGAGAGTCAACATAGGTTCACCATGAAAGTGAAGTATGATCATCGCAGTAAATTTTTCCAATTTAAGCAACTGGAAAGAAGAAACCTGAAAAAAAAATCAGGGCTTCAACCATCTTGGACTATTTTTGCACGACCAGACACTGCAAGAATGAAATAGATTTCTACCCTGCCTTCATGGAAATGTTCTTCTAAGGCCAACAATCCTAAGGCAGGTTTATGTTGTTTACCAGGGGACCACATACAGCATGAAGAAAATCAAGTGCAATCAGCAGCCAAGAAATTTTCAACCAAGTTGGAAGAAAATAGAATCATGACCAAGCACAGAGCAAGCCTTGCCTTTAGCTAAAACCGTGACCCCCAAAACTTATCATGTCTTGCATAAATATTTCACAGCTCAATCTGTTCCCTTTCTCAAATCTGGCCAAACCTTTGTGATTTATGATTTATGGTTTGCCAGTATGGCTTAAATACAGGCATTTAGTGTATGTTTGTCAAACTCCTTGACAAAATCTACGATAGTTAGACAAAAATGCATCAGAGAATAAACAAGCTTCACAGCTGCAGTTCACAGAGTGCTGCTCACTAGTTTACCTTTTTAAAAATTGTTTTAAAAATTGTAAAAACACAAAAGATCAAGGCTGTCTTAAAGGTTAAAACAGTTCCCATTTCTTTCTACAGCGTAGATATGAACCAGAAAGCTCTAACCTGAGACGTATGTGGAGAAAGATTTGTTTTGAGGCAATAGATTCCATATCAGGTGAGTCTTTGCATTTTGTGAGTGTTTGTGTGATTATTGGTTGCAAAGGTTATGACTTGATTTTACCTGTACTAGAAATTATGGTGCACAATACAGGGAGAAAATTAAAACAAATATGGATGTTGTTTCACAGTTCTGCTATTCCACTGCATTGTGTCCTTTGACAGTGCCTCTCTCCATCCAGATATACAAATGGGTACTGGGTGAATTTCATAGTGGGCTAGCCCTACAACAAACTGGCACCCCATTTTAAGGGGAAAGGGGAATGAGAAAGATGCTGTATCAATTATTGCTATGAAAACTGGGGTAAGGTGTGGTAGTTTGGATCACTTGGCCCAATGGAGACTTCAGCTTACCTTCTTCATTGAAACTCCCCCTAGAAGGGTTGAAACTTTAAAAATCTGATGACTTATTTGTAGTTTGTAAAACATCAAGGAATTCCATAAAGGTTAAAACATTTACAGTGTCTTACTAGATACAAAATGGAGAAGCAAGGAAAAGACTATGTGCAGAGACTCAAGAGGAGAAAGAATCAAATTGAGACATTAGATCACATAGTAAGTCAGTCACAGTTTTATTTATGTTTGGTATCATGTCGTAGGAACAGTTGAGCACAATGCAGACAGAGATGTTGTTTCCGTACAGTTCAGCTATTTCAACAAACCCTTATGTGGCCATATACCTTTGCCTTTCATGGGTAGGGTGTACAGAAATTCCATAAGACTTCAATGCTTGGAGTACTGTTGTCGAGGAGCATTGTTATGTGGGAGGAGGGACACAGTGGTCCAGTGGTTCATGCACTAGACTGCATATCAAGCAGTCTGGGTTTCAGCCAATGGGTCTCTGCATTTTTTCTTGGGCAAGACACTTACTCTCACACTACCTCTTGCCACCTGGGTTTACAAGTGGATACTGGATGGTAATCCTGTGGCAGACAAGCATCCCGTCCTGGCAGAATAGAAATATGCAGCAAAGACCTGGATAAGCTGTGGTTATTTGGATCACTTGGCCTGACGCAGACTTTACCTTGAGTCCATTGTTGAAAGTTGCCCCTTTACGGTTAACACGAAAAAAAATCTGATGGTTGTTTTTAGTTGTGTATTGTTTGAAACTAAGAGATGAACAATTTCATAAAGGTGATTAAGGCATTTCCTGATTCTTACTAGATGTAAAACAGAGAAGAAACGGTAAAAGCTGTGCTGAGACTCTTGAAGAATCAAATTGAGGCATTGGAGCCCTTATTAGGTGAGTCACAGTTTTCTTTTAAAAGGAGGGTTTTTAACCACTCAGTAGTACACATACTAGGAATAATTGTACACAATGCAGGCAAAGAATTTAAAGGAATAGAGATGTTATTGTTTCACTGTTCAGATATTTCAAGAAACAATACCCTTCAGGGTTAGGTTATACAAACATTTTCTAAGAATACAATACCCCAAGCAACTGATGTGATTAATATTCAAATTGTGAGATACTGTAAGGGGCCTAATTGGATCAACGACCAATTGTTGTCCAGTTCATGTATCAATGCTTCCTTAGCCATTAGGCCTCTAGAGTGATCAGCTTCAAATTTCTCCGGCTGGTTTAAAATGTAATCATGAAGAAACGGTAAACAAGATTTAGAGAGTAATCTCAAAAAGGAATTGTCTAGATAACTCGAAACCTGTAAGGAGAATTTGTTTCGTGTGTAAGGACTCTGAATAAGGACTCAGCAATGAGAAGAAAGGTTGCGAGCTGGAGGATATTGCCTTGATATATCACCAAATTCTCAGAACAAACCCTGAAAGAAAATTACAGCAAAGAACACCAGGCAGTTTGGATATTTAGTTTTGTGAAAAAGATCATGTACCTTCTCATTTCAAGAGTGCCAAAGTAAAAAATGCACCCCGTTTTATTTTGCTGTAGCAAGTACATGAAAATACTGCATAGATTCAATTTGAGTGAACATAGGGATGCTAGCCATAGATTTTAAAGCTAAAACTCAGGGGCGTAGCTAGGGGGTCCTGGGGTGCCCGTGA